TTTAGTTTTACCGTTCTCCGATCGTTCTGTCTACCATGTTAGAACCTGGTATGGCAATTTGAAATGATTTATGTACGTACGACGTTCTGCGTTGTTATTGACTAACTAACTGACTGACTGACCTATTCAGCATATTTCTCTTGTAGAAATTTAAAACTACCTGCCAATTTAGTTGTAGATATTTGTAAAAAAAAGCGAGATTCCAATTTATGTGTAAGTAAAACTTCGTGTTTCATCTAAGTATTCAGTAATAAATAGTGTGTTTTGAAATTGGTACTTAAATGCCTTCAATCAGTCGGTATAAATTGTAGTGTTTTTTGTACTATGCGCCTTATGTGTATGTGTGTATATGTCTCTTTCTCTACCTTATACTACGCTAGTATGTATGCTTGTAAGATATAAATAGTATAAGTGTAGTCGAGCATACTTGCATTCTTCAGTCTACTTCTCCTGTCTGTAACACAATGAATGTATAAAATGCGCCTATTTACCATTCATTCACGTATTGTTTTCATAGTTGCAAAAAAACACGAGCTGATCTTAGTTAGACTGACATTCGAAATTTGTAAGCACTAGACAGTTGTTTCGTCCGTCCCTAGTATTGGGACTCTTCAGTAGTGTATTACCTTTTTTTAAAATGTATGATGATAATAGGGAATTAGATGCCAGGCTACAAAATGCTACTTAACCATATCAAATATAGTTCGAAAAAAAGGCGTATGACAGTCAGTGAATTGGCAATATTTTGATCTTTAAAATGCTTGGAATCAATGAAAAAATTTTCTATTCGGAAGTTGAAAAGTGAATTTCAGATGATGTTTAAACCAAATTACAAAACACTAGTGCTCTCAAGGCAAATGGTGTGTTAAAGTGCTGACTTATTTATCTACGCCTATTACCTACCCTCAATGGATGATAGGTTTTCGTCCAGCATTCTCCAAACTACTGTCTGTCCTGGGCCTTCCTTTCCAGTTCTATCCAATTGCTATTCATTCTTTTCACGTCTGTTTTCAATTGGCGTAATGTGTTCCTTGGCCTTCCTCATTTCATTTGGCCGTGAGGATTTCCAGTTAAAGCATGTTATTTGACTCGGTTAGACGCTCTGTGCAATGTGTGTCCTGTTCTCCCCCAGGGATTTATACTAACCCCTTCTTCAAGTGGAATTTAGTTTGTCCTCACTCATAGTAGGTTATTGAAGATGATGTCTGGCCATCGGACGCTCACTATCTTGTGTAAACAAGTATATCCTGTGGATGATGGCTTCCTCGGTTTTCCAAGTTTCCACTCGATACAGTAGCTTTTATAGTTCAATAAATCGTTTATAATGGAGTTTTGTTCTCGGAGTTAGTTTTTTTCATTATGGATCTTTTTTATCGTTCTTCTGTTCAAAATCATCAGTACAAATGTCAGACAGAAATGAAGTATTCTAGTTTCTTTATATATACAACGATCAATCAACAATCAGCAAACACATCGATATTGATCCAACTATCGATCGATCAATTAATCCGGAAAAAAAACTGATAGACAACAACAAGCAATAAGATCAAGAAACAGATCAAAATAAAGTTGCAAATAACAACAGGTTTATTAAGGTCAATAACAACCAATCAAGATCGAGCTCAACACAGGACAAACTACGAGTCTTTACGCAGAGAAATTCAAATACTTCACTTCTCTACTTGAAGTTTGTGCTAATAGTGTTATGTTCAGAAGAATAACAATGAAAGCTCCACGACCAAACCACATCCAGCTCAGAAAATGAAACTTCACAATGAATTATCCACCGGAGCTACACATTTTCTCCCACCATCTCAACGAGTTGTCGAGTGTGTTTTGTGAAGTTCGATAGTGTTCTCCTACTCTATCTTGTAGCCTGAATCTTTTGTGTTTGTAAATGTTAGGATATTCATCCAATATCCTAAGAGAATTATTGGTTAATTCCTACTGGTCAATTTTATGGTCGTCCTAGATATCAATGTCACGTGCTCCAATGTTGTTTAATATTGGTTGTCCTGACTATCCTGTCAATGTCACAGACTTCGATGATGTTTCCTATTCGACCAAAATGTATAAATACGCATTATCTGTAACATTTTACGACCCGGACGAGGACCCGGATACCTAGTCCAGGATCCTGAGTGTGTTGTGGACTCGGACTTCGTACTTTCTGGATGCTTTTAGAATACATGTTCTACTTCATATCAAGTCTTCTTATCTTTACTCAATATGGAGGGTTGGGATAATCGAATTGAGTAGCATGTCATGTCGTCGGATCCTTGATCCTCGCTCTCGTTTTCCGACTAGCTAAACTCGTAATAGTTCAAGCATATCAAGTTGACGTGTTTATGTGGAGGCGTAACAGTTAACTGAAGAATAGCGAAACATTGCATCCTATATGATGTCATTTCGTAATGGAAATCATAACCCTTTTAGCATTAATGCTTGTCTCAGTTGATGACAAACAAACTCTTTGTAGTAGTAGTGTAGTGAAGGAGAACACAGGTGAGGGCAACCGAATTGTATTAATCGAAAATTACAGAGTTACTCAGTAAAATAGGAAAACCATATCGTAAACGGTTAATTTGCAAATCTTCAATCCATTGTCTGACATTTCACTATTCATGCGTTTGTTTCATACAAATTCCATTGTGTTCCCACTCTTCTTCCTTTCTTGATCTTCCCTTATATTCTGCTGCCAGACATTACGTTTTCACTCACGTCATATACTACTTATAAGTAGCGCGCACCACAATAGCCCTAACTAATATCATTCGCTGGAATCTTTATACGAACATCTAATCTTTCAATTCTACTATAAAGTAATAATTCGACAAATCTTATTATCCTCCTTCATTCCTCCATGACTCAAATCCACGAAGTCACTGACAAGTAAACTCAACCGTGTTGATAGATGTAGACTATCTGGTTGGGGTCAGTGAGACCATGAACAACATGGTTCAAAATCGTTTGCAATGGCGCAGGTGCATCCATTCTCTGCCTTCTCGCTTACTGACCTAGAATATGCCGATGAAAATTCTATTCGGTGAAGCCGCTGACAAAATGCAGAGTCTTTTGACTACCACAAGCAGCGATGCGAGCATGTCCGGGATGCGGTTTTCCCCCTCGAAATGCAAAATGTTACTTCAAGACTGGGTTAGATCGGCACCTGAACTAGTTGTAGGGAGTGAAGTAGTCGAACGTGTAGACCGCTTCACTTTTCTTGGGAGTCTGTCTCATCAGTGCCGATGGCCTGGTGACTGACGAAATCTCAGCTGGGATACAGAAAGCTCGATTTGCTTTTCCCAATTTATGGCGTAGGCGAGATATCCGTTTGTTAACCAAAGGACGAGTGTACTATGCAGCAGTTCGCTCCGTTCTCCTATATGGCTGTGAAACATGTCCGTTAAGAGTAGAAGATGTTCGTAGGTTACTAGTATTCGATCCTAGATGTCTTCGAAGCATTGCTCGTATACCATGGGACAACCGAGTAAGCAATGCTGTAGTTAGGAAATGTGTACTAGGTAAGGATGGAGGATCAATAGATGAAGTAGTGAAACTTCATCAGTTGAGGTGGTTGGGACATGTATTACGTATGCCTAACCACCGACTGCCGCGATGAGCTATGTTTTGCGATGTAGGGATAGGTTGGAAGAAAGTTAGGGGTGGCCAGACCAAAACATGGCAGAAATCCATGAAGTCATTGACAAGTGGACTTAACCATGTCTGTACTTGTCGACTCCCTGGTTGGGGTCCGCGAGATGATAATAATCGATGGTTAGAGACCTTGAATGACATGGCTCAAAATCGTTCGCGAAGGCGCCGGTGCATTTATGCTTTGTGTTCTCTCAAATCCTAATCTTTTGGAATCGTCAGCACCTCTACCTTTGTCTTTCTAATCTTATCTCACTGAATTATACTTCGTGAATAATATCTTCAAACCCTAGTCTTCTTCATTACCATTAATACCTCTACTATCTTTATCACTATGGGATTTGATTTGACATTTGCGTCTCTGTGTTAATGTGGTATGGCAACTTGAACTTATATACATACGTAAGCAGTTCTATGTTGCAACTGATTGATCTATCGTCCCCAACAATCTGATGTACATACCTAAGTACGTACGTACAAAGTTCTACGTTGCGACTGACTGACTAGCTAACTCGTTGCTTCATAACTGACTCAGTATATATGTATATAAATATGTAATTTTATTCTCTATTTATTATAGCATTATGAAGGATTAGCAAATCGTGCTGCACAAAATCTTCATGTGATTGATATATTCAGTTGTTCATTAGATCAAACAGGTTTACATGAATTACGTTATTTAACTAATTACACTGGTGGTCATATGATTATGGGTGATAGTTTTGCATCGAATTTATTTCAACAAACATATCGTCGTGTATTTAATAAAGATGCTACTGGTTCATTTCTAATGGGTTTAGCTGGTCAAATGGAAGTAAAGGCAAGTTTTCTGTTTGTTTTTTTTGGTCAAATTTATTTTACTACTGATATCATGAATCAGTCAATATCATAGACTAGTATTAGAAACAGTTTCGTCCTAATGTATGGGACTCATTATCATCTCTTTACAACCTCATAAGGGAAATTTCCATGTACTCACTAGTGACCAGCTTCGTGAGGAAGGTTCTCCGAGTTCTATTGAGAAGTTGTGCGTGACCATTGGAGTTTGACCTGTGTTTGAGGTGTGAAGCTGTGCTCACCGAAGATAGTGGATGAGGTTAGATAACATTGGATACTGGCTCAGTGGTTTAGAGGTGTTAGGCATTCGCACGCAAGACCGAAAGTCCTAAGTTCGATTCTTGCGAGTAGCGGGAGTTGTGGATGCATACTACTGATGAGTTAACATTCAATATTCTCGCTGATAACATAGTGGCTTAGTTAACTTTGTGGTCTAAAGTTAAAGCAAGAAATCAAAACACTGATCTCTGTTTTCTGTGAAGTCATTGATGAACAACTGTGATAAGTGGCTCCCGAATTCCATGATTACGCCGAAAGTGTGGAGAGTCTGCTCTCTCTCTTTGTGGATGCATTCATAAGGTCACGCGGACATAACCACTGTGTTGGAAGTTTAAATCAGTCACTGACATCTCGTGGCATAGGTGTTGTTTACGAGAAAAAGAGTGTCCGGCATAGGAAAACAGGTCTTAGTAGGTACGGAGAATCTATCTACGCAGATGGTGAACGCTCATTTCAACCCAAAGATGTATATGGGCCTCAGGATCCTGGTTAAACAAATATGGTATGAAACTGTTATTGGTGACCAGCTACCATTGGATTGCATCTATTGACGTTGCTCCACTGTTTTACTGGTTTTAAAACCTATAGGTCAAACGTTCGAGGAGTCTCCTCCTCCTATGGAAGCCACCTGGTTCAATTCGGACAGTCGGACAGCGTATTCCAGTCTGCGTACACATATGATTGATTTGTGTGATGCACAAATATTTAAGTATCCCTTTGTACCAATAATCTGCGTATATGCCTGTTACCCTTAATGATGAAGCATAGGCAACTGATCAGCCAATTATTTTTCTGGTCAGCGTCTTTTTTAGCGAGTTACGGGATGGGATCTTTAAGCCCTCCTTTGCCCAACCCTTCTCCTTTACTCCATGGGCTTGGGATCGGGAGAAAGCCTATAAAGGATTCCAGGAGGAGTTTCTCCCTAAGTAGACTCATATTGATTTCCATGAAATACAGTTTTAATCGTTGTGTGCTGACTGTTATATGTAGTTGACCAACCTCATCTCATTTGAAAAATGATCCTTACCATGTTTAAGCAAAAACGCAATCTATCCACCATTGTGATGTACAAAAAAGTACAAGATATTGGTTCCGCGAAGAGAATTCTCTTTTCAGCTTACACTACGTTGTTAAAAATTCTATAAGGTTATGTGTAAGTTGGTACATGTCATGAAACTATCAATTGACCGATATTATTTTCAATAATTTACCTGATTGATTAGAAGAATTTTTAGTTGATTCATTCATCTGTTCAATTCTATGAAGTGAAAAGCGTGAAATCGATGCTCGAAAATATCATACTAACAAGTTGTTAGAGATGGAACTACTTACTGAATATTAACGAGTAGTATAAAGTAATACACGAAAAAAACAGATTGAATACTAAGGGAGTAAGAAAAGAACAAATTTAAAGGCATTTATCATTGATCTTTTTAAATAAATTATTGTGGCTCACCTATTCACTTTGATGTACTGTAAAAACTCGAAAGTTGTATGCTTAAATCACACTAATATTATTGTAGTATTTGAAACCATGAATCGACCAATGTGTTAGATCACCATTAGAAGGAACCTGGAAGCACTGGAAGACGGCCGTTTCGTCCTGGTATATGGGACTCCTCATCAGTGGCAGTGCGTATCCACGACTCCTGCACCACGCAGGATTCGAACCCAGGTCGATACATGGTTTCAAATGTACAAATCAAAAGTTTATCTGTTAATATTAGTAAATTTATTGCCTTGTACCTATTAATCTGTCAAACTTATCTTTCCTTTTTTGCGTTTAGACATCAAAAGAACTCAAAGTGTCCGGTTGTATTGGACCGTGTTTTTCAGCTAATATTAAAATGCCTAATACAAGTGATCAAGAAATTGGTATTGGTCGTACATCAGTATGGAAATTAAATGGTTTCACACCATCAACTACATTAGCTATTTATTTTGAAGTAGCTACACCGACTAGTGGTGGTGGTGGTGGTGTACAAATACCACCAGGTAGTAATGGTAGAGGTTATGTACAATTTGTTACACAATATCAACGTGCTAATGGCCAGCGTAAATTACGTGTTACTACAATATGTCGTAATTGGATTGATTCAACTACACAATTACCACATATGATATGTGGATTTGATCAAGAAGCTGCTACTGTTTTAACTGCACGTATGGCTATGTTTAAAGCGGAAACAAGCGATAGTGTTGATGTGTTACGGTAAATCATTAGTATTATTAATTATTTACTTACTTATACTTGTTATCCCTCTCCCCATATTGGGGCATATACCGCCGACCAGTATTCTTCAACCTAACTCTCTGTCCTCTAGCGCTTGCCTTCCAGTTCTTTATTCAACTGTTGTTCATTCTCTGCATGTCTGCTTTCAATTGTCGACGTAGTGTGTTCCTCAGTCTTCCTTGTTCCCCTTTGGCCTTGAGGATTTCAAGCGATGGCTTGGCTTGTGACACAGTTGTGTACTTTCCTCAATGTGTGTTCTATGCACTTTCGTGAAGTTAGTTTTTTTTTCTCTGTCCAACCTGCGTCCAAATATGTTTGTATGTTTTTTTTTTCATTTCCGCTGTAACATGAGTGACTATCCCGGTCATCTACAGTGTACGAATGGTTACTGTGTTTGTGAGAATAGGCATCGTCCTCTTGACTTGTCAAGAAACTCAGCCTTCATCATATGACGTCATAACTCTTCTGAAATAAAGACCTTCCAACTGCCACGGCAGAGTTTAAATGATTGAAATTATTGTTTTCTGGTTAGTGTGGTGTTTTTTTACAGGATATGGTCGCATACCCCATGCCCAATCCTTCTGATTTATGCGGGTTTGGGACCAGCAGTAACCTCAGAAGGGCTAAAGGGGCGGAGCTAGAAATAATCATATATTTTGTTATCGTTTGGTAATGATGATCATTTATCTTGTTCGTCTAACCAGTGTTTTATTCTTGATAGTATGCTATTGAAAAGTAACATTCATTGAAACAAAATGTGTTGTTCCCCCTAACCATTGGCCAATAAATCACGTGACAAATACAAAAACGCCAATCACAGTTACGATATTTTTTTAGCACCACCAGTTTCATTGAGTTAGGTCTCAATTCTTGTCAATCCATAATGGGATAGCTTCTTTCTATCTATCCCGTACCTCTTAGTTCAGATGTCCATAGTTAACCTCGACAAAATTGCAGCAGGTTGAGGAATACTGGTCGGCAGCCTATGCTCCATTTGGGGGGTAACAGACGTAAGTAAGTATGTACCATTAATACTAATTCATATTTGTCAATCATGCATATAATTTTATTTTCTTCTCATTTCGTTCCATTGTAGATGGTTAGATAGGCAATTAATTAAATTATGTCATAAATTTGGTGATTATCGTAAAGATGATCCAACTTCATTTCGATTACCTGGTGAATTTTCATTCTATCCACAATTTATGTTTCATATGCGTCGATCACAATTTTTACAAGTATTCAATAATAGTCCAGATGAAACAGCTTATTATCGGTAAGTATTGTATAAGATTGATGAAGTAGCATATTAATTTTGTGTATTGAGTTTCATATGTGTATCATTGGCTGACAAATGTGCGTATGAACCTATTGTTGATGATCGGCTATTATGGGCATGCATCTCCGTTGTTGTTCCTTCACTACCTTGAAAACCGAACCTGTCGGTTAAAGGCTCATGGTGTTGGGGTGCCCTAAGGAAACCACCAGGTTAGGTTCAGGCATCAAGACAGAGTATCTCAGTTAACCCACTGACAAAGTCATTAATCTCTATGGTGCATAAATATTTCGGCGCCTCTTTTCTACCAATGTTTATGTGTTCAAATGAAATTATTATAGTAGTAAATGCAATCAGTATTTATATTCTAAAGTTGTGAAGATAAGTCGTCCAGAGGTTAAGCCATCGTGCTTGAGACTGTAGGTCCTGATTTAGATTCCCGATCGTGGGGTAGTAGTAGTTGCGCACTGCCAATCAGGCGTCCCATGCAAGGACGAAACAGCTGTCCAGAGCTTCATAGTGGTCTAACAATGATTGATTCATGATCTCAATCAATGACCGTCAGTATTTGTGAACTTGTTAACTTTGTTCAACTTGTAATATAGTGTGTACACCGCAGAATAGGACGAACGAAGTTGTTTATATGATCTACTGATTTTGGTTGTAATTGTTGTTGTTATTTGCGAATGTGTCGCCAAATTGATTGATTTGTGTCATGCCTACACGTAAACACGTCAACTTGATATGCTTGAACTATTACGACTTTACGTAGTCGGAAAAACGAGAGCGAGTATCCGGCGACACGACATGCTACTCAAATACGATTATCCCAACCCCCATATTGAGTAAAAATAAGAAGACTTGATGTGAAGTAGAACCTGTATTCTACAATCATCCAGAAAGTACGAGGTCCGAGTCCAGAAGAGAATCAGGATACCGGATTAGGGATCCGGGTCCTGGTCCTGTTCATAAAACGTTACAGATAATGCGTATTTATACATTTTGGTCGAATAGGAAACAGCATCGAATTCTGTGGCATGGACAGTTAAGACGACCAATAGGAAGTAACATTTGAAATGACATTGATAGTCAGGACAACCAATAAGAAACAACATTGGAGCACGTGCCATTGATATCTACTAGGACGACCATAAAATTGACCAGTAGAAATGAACCAATAGGAATTGACCAACAATTCTCTTAGGATGTTCTCTCAAATGCTTATCTTCCAAATTCCTTATCACCTCTCTTCTCAAATTAGTGTTATGATATTCATCCAATATCCTAAGAGAATTATTGGTTAATTCCTGCTGGCCAATTTTATGGTCGTCCCAGATATCAATGTCACGTGCTCCAATGTTGTTTCTTATTGGTTGTCCTGACTATCAATGTCACTTCAAATGTTGTTTCCTGTTGGTCGTATTAACTGTCACAGACTTCGATGACGTTTCCTATTCAACCTAAATGTATAAATACGCATTATCTGTAACGTTTTAGGACCACGACCAGGACCCGGTTCCGGATCCCTAGTCTAGGATCCTGATTCTCTTCTGGACTCGGACCTCGTACTTTCTGGATGCTTGTAGAATACATGTTCTACTTCATATCACGTCTTCTTATTTTTACTCAATATGGTGGTTGGGATAATCGGATTTGAGTAGCATGTCGTGTCGCCGGATCCTCGATCCTCGCTCTCGTTTTTCCAACTAGGAAAACTCTTAATAGTTCAAGTATATCAAGTTGACGTGTTTACGTGCAGGTGTAACAATTAATTGAACTCAATTATGCTTCTCGAATCATATTTCATCAATTGAGGTGGTTGAGACATGTGTTACGTATGGCTAACCACCAACTACCTCGACGAGTGATGTTTTGTGGTGTAGGAGTAGGTTGGAAGAAAGTTAGGTGCGGCCAGACCAAAACATGGCAGAAATCCATGAAGTGACTGACAAGTAGACTTAGTCATGTTGGTAGATGTAGGCTACCTGGTTTGGATCCGCGAGACGATGGTGACCAATTGTTAGAGACCTTGAACGACATGGCTCAAAATCGTTTGCAATGGCGCCGATGCACCCATTCGTTGAGCTCTCTCAAATCCTAGTCATCTCGAGTCGTCAGCACCTCTGCCTTAGTGTTTCTAACCGTATCTCACTGATTTATACTTCTTGAATAATATCTTCAAACCCTAGTCTTCATTACCATTAATACCTCTACTATCTTTATCACTATGGGATTTGATTTGACATTTGCATCTCTGTTTGGTAATGTGGTATAGCAACATGAACTTATGTACATACGTACAAAGATCTACGTTGCAACTGACTGAACTGACTGACTCTTGAATCATATCTTCGAACCTTAATCTTCTCGATTAACGCTAATACTACTGAAACATCCACTACTATCGAATATGAATTGACAGTTGCATATATCTTTGCTCTAGTGTGGTATGACTACTAGAATTAATGTACACAAGTACGTACGTACAAACTTCTACATTGTAGCTGATTTACTGAATGACTGACATACACGCATGCACACACACACACAAACTCTCGTAATTCTTTCAATGTTTTACTATTTGTTTTTCTTATTTTCTCATTTTCTCATTTTGTTTTTCATTTCACAAGTCATGTTTTGAATAAAGAAGATTGTTCTAATTCCTTGTTAATGATCCAACCATCATTGACATCATTCAATTTGGATGGTAGTGAAGAACCAGTTCTATTGGATACAAGTAGTATACAACCAGAACGTGTACTATTAATGGATAGTTTCTTCTTAATTCTAATTTATGAAGGTGATACAATAGCGAAATGGAAAAAAGCTGGTTATTTGGTTAGTGATTTGTGTATTGATTATTTTGTGTAATATGTCTGTACATGTTATGATAGATAGATAGATAGATAGATAGACAGACTAGGGTTGGAGATTCGAATTCCTATTTCACTTTCTTGTGTGCTGTTACGGGAATGAGAGGCGGATGTCACTTCCCCCGGCTGCCGACACCGCGTGAAAGTGTGTTTATTGTGGAATCCTGGAGAGGAAGTTAGAATGGAGTCGGTCTGAGCGATCTGGGAGCGTGACCGCAGAGCCCAAGGGACAACTGCTTGAGGCCGGTCACGCACAGCCTTTTTATGAAAAGTTTTTAAATTGTTAGCTCCGCTCTTGTTTAAAAGGCCTTATAGCCAGAGACGGAAATCCGTTAGGTAGTGTGAGGTGTGACGTTTTTAGGATCGAGCTTCTCTAACCCTTCCTTCCTTGTGATGAAGCAGCATCGCTGCAGATGCTGGTTGTCCGAGGTAAACATCCTTTACAGCCCCTCACACTCTTCTGCAGTCAGCAGTGCGACTTCTCCCTGAGACCTTGAGTAGCTACTTTTAGTCTTACCGTTCTCTGTTTGACCTGCCTGGCATGGTAGAACCCGCAGGAGCGTCTGTTCTGGCCAATATTCCTTGGTTGGGTCATCAGAATGGGCAAGCCCTACCACCTCGTCAATGTAGCAACTACAGTTGGGCTATTATACGCACAAAGGGAGATCGAACTACGTTAAAAACCTGGAGACGATATTCTTTGAGAACCGCGTACAAGCACTTCTTGAAGTACATCACTTCAAGCTACCACATCATATAAACGCTTACTTACTTACTTACACCTATTTACCCTTGTGGAGCAATAAACATCATCTTTCATTGATGTGTTTCACAGTTATAATAATTGTTTCAAATTTAACCTACATTTTGAATCGGATTTTTAATGGCTGGTGTTGAATTCGAAGTAAGGCTTAGTATTTTAGTGGCCTGAGACACTCGAATCCAGTTTAGACGAATAATCTAATACGCAATGCAATAAGTCTTCCTGTTCATTTCCGTATATATCATCATACTTAGGCAAATGCCTCATTTGTGCGATGATGGGAAGGCAAATACAGTTTTTTAAGAATGAATTTATTTTTTGCGTTCATTTAAGCAGATAAACATGAGAGAATGGTTAGTGTAGAAGTAAAGCAAAGCGAATTGAAGCGAATTGGAGAAGGCAAGTGAGTAAGCAATACTCACACACACACACAATCAATCAAATATAAAATAGTTGAGATAGTTTGTACGCATGCTCGTCAACACGTCATTTTGATATGCCTGAACTATTACGAAGATTCGGCGACCCGGCAGGCTACTGTAATTCGAATGTCCCAAACCCTCATTGAGTAAAAGAAGAAGACTTCATATGAAGTAGAACATGTATTCTACAAGCATCCAGAATGTACGAGGTCCGAGTCCGGAAGAGGATAAGGATCCTGGTCTAAGGATTCGGGTCCTGGACCATAAAACGTTACAGATAATGCGTATTTATACAATTAAGGTTGATATTTTCGGGCAGAACTTTGAAGGTTTCGTGTTTTTACACATTTAAAATCATCAATCAATAATTGTTAGACCACCATTAAAAACCTGGAAGCACTGAAAGACGGTCGTTTCGTCCTGGTATGGGACTTATCAGAGTTAGACATTAACACCGTTGGATGCCGGCCTAGTGGTCCGATGGTTAGGCGTTCACGCACAATACCGAATGTCCCGGGTTCGAATCCTGCGGGGTGCAGGAGTCTTGGATGCACACTGCTGACCAGTAGTCCCATACCAGGAAACGAAACGGCCGTCCAGTGCTTCCAGGTTTCTAATGGTGATCTAACATTGATCGATTCATGATTTCAAATTAATGTTGAATTGGAAACAACATTTGATGTGACATAGATAGTTACGACGACCAATAGGAATTGACCAATAGAATTAGACTTGCAAACAATTATCTTAAGCTATTGTAGATGAATAATATCCTAACAATAGTGTTATCGAATATTTTAAACGACTCATTATTATTAAAATTAATATCATGAATAAATGACTAGATGATTAACATGTATGTATAATAACACTGATATTTACATGTGCAGTTTCTTCCTCTCTATCTCACTCTGTTTTGTTTTTTTCTGATATCATCATCATTATATAGGATATGCCAGAATATGCACATATTAAACAAATTCTTGATAAACCTAGATATGAAGCACAAGAATTGTTAAAAACACGTTTCCCTGTATCACGTTATGTTGAAACAGAACATGAAGGTAGTCAAGCAAGATTTCTACTGTCAAAAGTCAATCCATCATTGACACATCATACAATGTATTCATTTGGTCAGGTAATTCACGATATTAATCTCTCTCAGGTTACTTTATTAAATTTGTTTTAATACATTCAAAGGTTGTGTTAAGTATGAACAAAGCACAGTTTTTATCTTGATGGTATATTTATAGATACTTACTTACTTACGCCCGTTACCCCCAATGGAGCATAGGCCGCCGACCAGTTTTCTCCAGCCAACTCTGTCCTGGGCTTCCGTCTCCAGTTCTGTCCAATGTTTGTTCATTCCTCTCATGTCTTTCTCTATTTCTCGGCGTAGTGTGTTCCTTGGCCTTCCTCTTTTCCTTTTGCCTTGAGGGTTCCATGTGAGGGCTGGTCTTGTGACGCAGTCAGGTGCTTCTCGCAGTGTGTGTCCTATCCACTTCCATCGCTTCTTCCTGATTTCCTCCTCCACTGGAATCTGACTTGTTCTCTCCCACAGTTCGTTGTTGCTGATGGTGTCTGGCCAACGAATACGAAGTATTTTGCGTAGACAGCTGTTAATAAACACTTGTATCTCCTGGATGATGGCTGTCGTAGTTCTCCAAGTTTCCGCTCCATACAGTAGAACTAACTGTCTTGACATTTGTATTGAAAATCCTGATTTTGGTTTTCATTGAAAGTTGTTTGGAGTTCCAGATATTTCTCAACTGTAGAAATGCAGCCCTTGCTTTACCGATCCGCGTCCTCACATCTGCATCGGATTCACCTTTCTCGTTGATGATGCTGTTCAGATATGTAAAGGTGTTAACGTCCTCCAAGGCATCTCCATCAAGAGTGATTTGGTTGGTGCATGTTGTGTTGTGGCGTAAAATCTTACTTTTCCCTTTATGTATGTTGAGACCTACTGCTGCTGAGGCTGCTGCTACATTGGTCGTCTTCTCTTGCATTTGTTGTTGCGTGTGAGATAGAAGAGTCAGGTCATCTGCCAAGTCCAGATCGTCAATCTCCGTCCTAGCTATCCACTGAATACCGTGCTTCCCTCCAGATGTTGACGTCTTCATAATCCAGTCGGTCACTATGAGAAAGGGTGAGAGGTGTAGTAAATTAGTTCGACTGTATGTTACATAATTAGCTTATAGTTTCGAAAATGACCACTTATTCAATATGGTGAATTTAGGAGAAACATTCAATGTTCATTACAGAAAAATACAGAAACTAATGAAGGGGAGTTGTGTGTTAGTTGAAATCACGAAATGATCTTAGCTACGAATGCCCCTGTGTGTTTGTGTGAAGAAGCCCAGCGGATGCACACTGCCAAGGCGTTCCATACTAGGATATAGACACAACGAGAGTCTGGTACTCTCAAGTTTCTTATGATGATCTAGCTAAGATTATTCTGTAATTTAAACTATGAAAATATAGAAATGAAAATTTTCGATATGATTGGAGTAAACAAAATCTTGATCAAACATCTATTGATATCCAAGAAAAATGAAGTATTAAGTAACTAGTTACTTATAAGTAGTATAAAAATAGACAACGAAAATGTTTCACTCTAATCGGCTGGAATGTAACCACTATATTATTTAAGTAGATCAAATAATTTTCTTGTCAATTCAACGTTAGTATTCATTAAATATGGTGACGATGATCTTCTAAATCTCTCGAACTGACACTGATTTTATTGTGTGTTGCCAACCTCATCATCTTCATGTGGTAGTGTAGTGAAGGAGAACACAGGTGGGGCAACCGAATTGTATTTAACGATAATTACAGTGTTACTCAGTAAAATAGGAAAACCATCTCATAAATCGTTCATTTGCAAAATATCAGTTCATGTTCCTGTTGCAAAACATCAATCCATTATCACTATTCATGCGTTTCATACAAATTGCATTGTTTTCTAACTCTTCCTTTCTTGATCCTCCCCCATCTTCTGCTGCCAGACATTACGTTGACGCTCACGTCATATACTACTTATAAGTAGCTCGCACCACAGTAGTAGTACTTGATACATTTTCTCTATTTAATATTTAAAATTTTTTGCATGTTTTGTTTACTTAGTGTCAAGTAGATGTGAGTATTTTTTGTTTCTTTCATTCTGGTTTTGGTGTGTGTGCGTGTGTAAATGTTTGTAACAAGTGTGCTTCTTCTTACTATGCTTACTGCTATGCACCGAGATTCATTATTGATGTGTGCTATAATTGTTTGATTCTTTAGTGCCTTGATTCACCAAAATGGGAGATGGAAAGTTTTATTGAGCATACATTTTCTATGGTAGTAGTTTGTGGTTGTTTCATAACACATGTGCTGTGTCTGCCTAACCACCGACTGTCTCAACGAGCTTTGTTTTGTAGTGTAGAAATAGGTTGGACGAAAGCTAGGAGCGGCCAAACCAAAACATGGCAGAATTCATGAAGTCATTGACAAGTGGACTGAGTCATATCGGTAGTTGTCGACTACCCGGTTGGGGTCCGCGAGACGATAGTCACCTTGAACGACATGGATCAGAATCGTTTGCAGTGACGCAGATGCATCCACTCTTCGTGTTCTATCAAATTCTAAGCTTCTGCATTTCTCATCATCTCTACCTTTCTCCTTCTAAATTTATCTCGCTGAATATCTTCGCTCCTTAATCTCCTGCATTACTGCTAATACTTCAACTATTGCTATCAGTCTTGGATTTGAACTGACAATTGCTTCTCTGTGCTAATGTGGTATGGCAACCTGAACTGATGTACCTTACGTACAAAGTTCTGTGTTGTATCTGTCTGTCTTTTAATCAGTTGTAAATCTTTCACGAAAGCTGTAAAATCTAAACTATCTCATTTATAACTTAATGGTCGTAGGCAACTTTTACACTACTCAATTTGACTTGTTATTTTTATAAGTTTTATTCTGTGATATTGTTCAAAACTACAAAATTATTCTATCGAATTGCTAGTTAGCCAACACGAAAAAAAAATTGTACTCAATGTACTGCAGCTGATTTGTTTTGTAATTGAGAATCTTCATATTCATTCATTGAACTATGCATAAAGAGTTCATTACTCTGAACATTGTATCCCCATATAGTTTCATTTGATTATGTTGTCAACAGATGTATTATATTCATTTAAAATAGTCTACTTATTTTTAAATAGAAATGTCAACTTTTTTGGGATTTGAGGTGGTTGGGACATGTGTTGCGTATGCCCAACCACCGACTACCTCGACGAGCTATGTTTTGTAGTGTAGGAATAGGTTGGAAGAAAGCTAGGGGCGGCCAGACCAAAACATGGCAGAAATCCATGAAGTCATTGACGAGTGGACTTAGCCATGTCGGTAGTTGTCGACTACCTGGTTGGGGTCCGCGAGATGATAATAATCGATGGTTAGAGACCTTGAATGACATGGCTCAAAATCGTTCGCAATGGCGCTGGTGAATTTATTCTTTGTGTTCTCTCAAATCCTAATCTTCTGGGTTCTTCAACACCTCTAGTTTTGACTTTCTAAACGTTTCTCACTGAATCATACTTCTTGAATAATATCGTCTAATCGTAACCTCTGAGATTACTTCTAATACCTTTACTACCTCTACAACTATTGGATTTGAATTGACAATTACATCTCTGTGCTGATGTGGTATGGCGACATGAACTGATGTACTTACGTACGAAGTTCTACGTTGCATCTGACTGACTGACTTTTTTAGGATGTGAAATATGTTCCCTTGTGGAATAGTTTTTTTTGTTGATGAACAATAGAACAACATCGTTTTGAACGATCCTTGATCTTTAGGAGTACCGCTAATACTTTTACTACTATAGGATAGGTATTGACAACTCATCAATCCCATTGTAAAAATTAGAACAACACAGATATAAGCGAACAATATTGTTGTTGTTTTCGATTCGGATCGTCATCAGGCTGCTTTACTCACTAATGCACATGAATATTTCTGTATGAAAATGTTCTAACCAATCAAGGCAATTTGAGTCAATAATCACAATGAAATGAAATAGAGATTACGTCACTACACTCATAATAGGCAAAAGTACAAGTTTATAATAAGAAGACAGGTGTACTGATAGTAGTAAGAAAATTAAAACTAAAGTTTTATCAATAGTAGGTCAAAGGTGGATCAATAGACTTAAAATAATTAGAACAACACAATGGGAATCTTTAAAAGACTTAAAATAATCATTACAAAAACATTAAAACCATTACGTAATAAGCAAATGTGTGAAAATAAAAATAAAATAAAAAAATATAATGTCAATCAGAAATCATCAATCAATCATTGTTAGACCACCATTAGAAACCTGGATTGATGATTTCAAATGTGTAAAAACGCAAACCTCCAAAACTGTGCCCGAAAATAATGTCAATCGTTAGTTACGTCGTATCCGGCCACGGAAGAGATAGGGGTGTCATGAATTTTTTCTGAACACATAAATTGGGGTTGAATGTACGTATACCTATGGCTTCTGCTATGTGTATGAGACGGTATCGAACTCCGTTGCGAAATGATGGAGGTATACAAGATAGATCACCTGAAAAGATCTAGATTTATCTACAATGTGACCACCACCTAAAAGGTGTGCTAACATAGAAATGTGTATTGTTTTTGGCTAACCCTTCGTAAACCATGCTGGGAGATGTTCACTCATTCGTTGGGTAAGTTGCTTGGAAGTACTCCCGTTATAGCTATCTCCACAGAAGTAGCTGAATTTGTAAATGCACATAGAGGAGGTCAACTCAGGTAACTTATCCTACGTTCAGGTAGATATCGCTAGTCGACTGGAGCATGTCAATGTAAGTTTGGCAACGTTGAATGTTCTATTAATTACTCTTATTAATCTGTCCTGCCAGGGTATAACAGGCCACATCTCCGTTGAATTTTAACTTCATAAATAAAGGTCTCTTTTAAGCGGTCGAAGCCTGATGATGATGATCTAATCGAAAACATTTTTGTTCGCTTATATGTGTTGTTCTAATTCATCAATCGCTGTGTGCTAATGTGATATGACAGCTTGAACACTGATTTACATACGTACTAAGTTCCACATTGTAGTTGATTGACTAACTGATTGGTGATCTCTCTTTTTTTGAGGATTAGCTCCGTTCTTAAAGGCCCTTAGTGGGCACCCTTACCCAAGGAGACGGGAATCCGTGAGGTAGGGTGAGGTGTGACATTTTTAGGGCCGACCTTTTCTAACCCTTCCTTTCTTGTGTGAAGGCAGTATCGCTGCAGATGCTGGTTGTCCGAGGGAAACACCTTACTACTGTCACACCCCTCTGCAGTCAGCAGTACGACTTCGCCCTGAGTAGCTGTTTTTAGTCTCATCGTTCTCCAATCGACCTGCCTGAATGGTAGAACGAACCTTCAGCAACATATGTTCCAGCCAGTATAGCTCGGTTGGTTCATTACGATAGGTAAGCCCGACCACCACGTTAAGGTAGCAGCTACGGTGATCTCTCTATCAATGTCAACTGTTCTTTTTATAGTTATTTAAAAAATTTTTATCTTTTGATTTTGTTGTGTTTTTCTCCACAATTTAATGGTTTGTGTGCTTGCACTGTTGAAGCATTTTTGCTTCTGTTTGCACTTGGTTTTTTTTTACTATGATCAAAAACAAGAGACTAGAATTTAACTACTTTTTCATACTTGTGTGTACTTATGTGTATTTTTAAAGGAAAATTTATATTCGATAAGTTTAAGCATTATTTAGGCGTTCAGAAGTTTCGAATCTTTGATATACTAGTTTTTTATTCACGACTACCTCGACGAGCTATATTTTGTGGTGTAGGAGTAGTAGGTTGGAAGAAAGTTAGGGGCGGCCAGACCAAAACATGGCACCAAATCCATGAAGTCACTGACAAGTGAACTGAGTCATGTTGGTAGATGTAGACTACCTGGTTGGGGTCCACGAGACGAAAGTCACCAATGGTTAGAGATCTTGAACGAAATGGCTCAAAACTGTTTGCGATGGCGCAGGTACATCAACTATTTATCTTCTCTCAAACCCTAATCTTTTTGATTACCACTAATACTTCTATTACATCTACTATTATGGGATTTGAACTGACAATTGCATTTCTGTGTGCTAATGTGCTATGTTCACCTGAACTTATGCATGTATATACGAAGTTTTACATTACAACTTATTGATTGAATGTGATCATCAATCATGTTCAAATTGAAAAGATTTGTAATCCAAAGAATCATAATAATAAGAAACAGATCAGTTGGGGACTGAAAAGTCTTTTATAGCAGAAGACACAAAGAAAGGAGATAGCTGTGACAGAAGAAAAGTTTTTTATTTTATTTTTACCAGACATTAAGATTATGGTAGAGATGAAACAGTTGTACCAGTTTCTTTTGTACATGTGATGTTATTTTTTGGCGAAAACAATACATTTCCTAAACAAAATTTATTGTGAAAAGAGAAATTTCAACGACTAATTAGAGAAGCTACTTTTGGAAACATTATTTTAACTAACGTCTGTAAGATGAATACTAATATTGTTTTTTTGTCCAGAAGTTAAGAGTTCGTGCTTAAGCCTGAACGTCCTGTGGTCGAATCCTGCGAGTATCAGAAATCGTTGTTGTGTATTGCTGTTGTGAGTCCCATACCAAGGCGAAACGGCCGTCTATTGCTTGTGGGTTTCTTCTAATGGTGGTCTTATAATGATCTATTCATGATTTCAATGTGTAGAAACAATACTCTTCATAATACTTCGGTTAGGGCGTTCGCGCACAATACCGAAGGTCCTGGGTTCGAATCCTGTGGGGTGCAGGAGTCGTGGATGCGCACTGTTGAGGAGTCCCATACCAGGACGAAACGGCCGTCCAGTGCTTCCAGGTTTCTAATGGTGGTCTAACATTGATCGATTCGTGGTTTCAAAAATGTGTAGTACGTCAGTGCGAAATTTACTCTTATGGCTGTTTTGTTCTATAAATCGTAGACTTTTGTTTGATTTACTACCATATTCTGTTTTATTCCTAGAATTATTTTCATTTTAAATGTAACCCCTTTGTAATACAACATATTTTCTCTATCCTAAATGCCTAGTTTGATTGTATATAATCATGTTTTTCTTTATAATTCTTGCTGTGTTTATTGTGGTCTTGTTTTTTCCAAATTAACCGCATCTTTTTTTAACGCTAATCTCAATCAGTCATAGTGTTCCAGTTGATTTGCTGCTAGGAATAGTTTTCTTGCCTTATTCCCCTAAGATTGTTGATTCACAGTTGTTCGAACTAGACAACCTATCAAAGTCAAGTCAAACTCTATAACGAGATCATGACTAATTATTGTCTTGAATTAAGAATGTAAGAATAAGGTGCACTGCTGAAATGAAAACTTATGCTCTCTAGTTTTTTTTTGCTTTCATAGTACTTCTGAGTATTTATCTATCTCTGTTCATAGGAAAGGCTTGTATCAGTAGATAATATTTAAAGACATTGGTTTACTCACGATTGGAAGTTTTTTTATTATGTAAAGTATAATTTCAACGCACTTTTCATATTCTATTCAATCATTTTATGTGTTTAATTAAGTTAGATCAATGTTACGAATAGATTCTCTATCCTCTTAACACCTTAACGTCGTTAGTTCTTCGTCTGAATATTATTGAACCTCAACTTTATCGTCTCGTTGGTAAATGCTCTGCTAGTTCCAAAACTCTCTATGTATGCAAACTTTCAGTTACACACTTGTTGAATTCGAGCTGGTGGAGCCCTTTCTAGGTGTTAACTGCCAGTCCTGAGACCGGTTAAAAGAAGAGCGTGGGGTATGGAATTATTAGCGTGTAATCCTGTAGTAAGCAAGCTTGTGAATAAAATGCTAACCAGCAAACTTCTTCTAAACCATTTATACTCTATCCTACGAGCTGGGTAGTTTTCATTTTCATTCATCGTCAAATCCTAGTTTCTTTAAAAGTCATGAGATTGATGTCCCTCGTGAAATTTAGAGCAACAATTAATTTAGAGGTGCATGTAGATGTTCCTTGTTCATGACTTTTAACATTGAGAACAATAGCTCTGACAAAAAGACACATCGATTCAACTTGCCAAGCCTTACATTAGTACAGTAAAAATGGAAACGAAAAATTATCAAAGATAAAATGGTTAGAAATTAACCATTGCTAAGCGTTTCCCATTAGACCTAAACGTCCTGGACTCGATTCCTGGTAGACACACATTGCTGAGAAGTTCCATTTGAGAACAATAGCTCTGACAAAAAGATTCATCGATCCAGGTTGCTAAGTTCCTACATTAGTACACTAAGAGTGGAAACAGAACTTGACGAATATCATCAAACCTAAAATAGTTGTGCATTTCAAATTTTTATCAAACTGCTTGGACATTAATCATTGCCATATGAAGGCTAAGTGTTCGTCGTTATACCCGTTGGTTCTGGATTTGATTCCTCTTAGAATTACACTGCTGAAAAGTCCCATTTTAGGATGTAACAACTATACAGTACTTCTTACTTTTCAATGATTCTCTAAAACTGGGGCAGAGAACTACAGAGTTCATCACACTCCACAACTTCCTATAACTAGAATCTGAAGAGAATCAGATATATCATGAAAATAGGTTACCAAATCAAGAATTTGACGAAAGAGAATATACAGGATTTTTTTCGGCTACGATTAGTTTCTGGCTATTTGTTACAGAAGGACTTATTTTATATTGCCAACCATCGTAGTTGCAATGATTTTCGCTCTTCACTAAAGTGAATATTATCTTTAATAAAAATACTCATAGTCCATCGTGTTCTATTTTGTATCTGTCAGTCAGTTGCAACGTAGAAATTCGTACGTATGTACATAAGTTCATGTTGCCATACCACATTAGCACAGAGACGCAAATGTCAAATCAAATCCCATAGTGATAAAGATAGTAGAGGTATTAATGGTAATGAAGAAGACTAGGGTTTGAAGATATTATTCAAGAAGTATGATTCAGTGAAATAAGTTTAGAAAGTCAAAACTAAAGGTGTTGAAGAATCCAGAAGATTAAGATTTGAGAGAACACAAAGAATAAATGCACCGGCCCCATTGCGATCAATTTTGAGCCATGTCATTCAAGGTCTCTAACCATCGGTTACTATCATCTCGCGGACCCCAACCAGGTAGTCTACATCTACCAACATGACTCAGTCCACTTGTTAGTGACTTCATGGATTTCTGCCATGTTTTGGTTTGGCCGCCCCTAACTTTCTTCCAACCTACTCTACACCACAAAACATAGCTCGATTTTATATCTGTAATCCCCAACTACAAATATCACTCTTCATTTTCTCATGAGTTCATCTTCCAGTCCAGTACAAAGAACAATCCTCGAGGAAGGGGGCGGAAGAGAATAAAGCTATCTTATTAACCCAAGTGCTTAATATTGTGTCGTATTCTTTGCAGCATTATACTATAATAATCAATTTATTAATCTCTTTTTTTCTCTTTCTAAGGATTCCGGTAGTGCAGTACTCACTGATGATGTATCGTTACAAGGTTTTATGGAACATTTAAAAAAATTGGCTGTCTCTAGTTCAACATAGAATGGAATGAATCAGCAAGTATGCATATATATATATGTATATATATACATATATACAGTAGGAAATTCTACAACCATTTATTTCATAAAAACGCGCATTATTATCTTCAAAAATGTAGTAATCAAACAATTTTATGGAGTGGGTAGTGTAGTACACGCCTTACTGCTACTACTACTACTCATCCGTATATAACACACAATATATATGCTTTCTATTTACACAGACACCCACACACACACAAACATCTGCACCATTACACCACTAGTCTGTTATGTGTTCCATTTTTCATGTTAATTTGATTGCAAATCATAATTTTCTTTTTTTTATTTTTACTTGTTTCTTTTTTTTTAAAAAAAAAATAATAAACTTTGATTGGTGTAGACTGTGTATGTTGTACCTGAAGAATTGTGTTTTCATTTACCCCTCCCATCCTACCAATCTTTCCCTAATGAGTAGTAGTTGTAGTAGTACGATATACACACGTTTGCGCTCTCTCCTCAATAAGCTGGTTATTATTCAATCATTTGTAAATTGAGTTATTATTGTTTTTTCTGTTCAGTGAATTGTATTTGGTATTTATTTACTAAAAACGACAACAAACAAACAAACAAACCGACCGAATAGTTTTTTTGTCTTCCTGGATGTGGCATAATTCGTTTTTGAAATAAAAATTTTTTTTAAAAACAATATGCTTTTGTTGTGTGTGTGTGTTTGTGTGTTGGAATAAGTCTTTGTTACAAAAGATTCAATCAAGTTTTCGTGAAGAAATAACTGTAACTTAGAATATTGTAGTTTAATAAACAAGACATTGATTGACGTCTTTGAGGGGAAAGTTCGAAGCAACTTGTAAACTATATTCTAGATAAGTGACTAGATTTGAATAGAGAAACCTCCTAGTTCAAACTTATCTGGTTGATACAGCTAGTTAAAAGTATAGAAGGTCTAGAGGTTAAGCGTTCGCACGCAAGACTGAAAGTCACGGGTTCGAATCCTGTGAGGCGCAGGAGCCGTGAATCCGTCCCGTGCCAAGACTAAACCGCCATCCTGTGCTTCCAGGTTTCTAATAGTGGTCTGACATTGATCGATGCATGATTTGAAATGTGTAAAAACAATAATCTTCATAACTATAATTGAAAATGCATAGATGTCAGCGCAGGAGTGATAGCGAGGCATCAAGTGATCAAGAAAACATCAACGCCTTCAAATAAAAGTCCTACAAGCTGAACTCATTTTTCATGAGGAAAGGCTGAAATGGTTAACCACTCAGAAACGGCTTAATGGGGCCATTAGAAATGCCCTAAACGATGAATACATATCATAGATTTATTTTTTTTAATGAAGTCAAAATGTACGACATAGATTAACGAGTCACTGTGCATATTATGCGATAGCTAAATAGACTCTTTTCCACTCAAGTAATCAAAGTTTGGAAGATTAAGACATCATATCGCGTTCATATTCCGGATACTATTGGTTACATAATTCCCTAACATTATTATATATCAGTCGCCAACACTTTTCAGCACAACTGATCGATTACTTTAGCATGTTCAGTAAAATCCTCAGTCAGTCAGTTACAATGCAGAACTACGTATATACATCAGTTCAAGTTGCAATACCAACATAAGCACAAACATTCAATTGTCAATTCAAATCCCATAGTAGTAGAGGTAGTAGACGTATTAGCCGTAGTCGGAGAGATTAGGTTTCGAGCATATTATTCAAAAAGTACTTAAAATGAAAAAGATGAAGGTAGTGAGGAAATCCGAAGATTAGAAATTCAGAGAACACAAAGAGTGAATGCAACTCGTTTTTGAGCCATGTCATTCAAGGTCTCTAACCACCGGTTACTATTATCTCGCGCATCCCAACCAATTAGTCTGCATCTGCCAACATGGCTCAGTTCACTTGTCAGTGGCTTCATGGATTTATGTCATGTTTTGTTTTGGCCGCTTCCTTCCAACCTATTCCTACATCTCAACACATTGCGCGTCGAGGCAGTTGTCAGTTTGGCGTTCGTCAACACATGTCCCAACCACCCTAACTAATGAAAATTCAATACTTCATCTATTAATCTGCACTAATAAAC